ATTTCTACCATTTCTCATTTCTGTAGGAAGTCCATGAGGTTTTTATCTTTTCTGATTTTGTCAGTGGTAAGGATTTTTTTTTTTCATATAGCTGCAATTTCAACCTTTTGAACATTAAGCAGATATAAATTATCTACAAGGCTAAAAAGTCTTTGATTAACAAGCTAGGGAATTGCAGGTATTAAAATTGCCCCCCAGAGGGAGCCCATATCGTTCCGTGAATGCATTAGACGTCTACTTTGAATTACAAAGAAAAATTGATTAAAAAGTATATGTTTATAAGTAATGTGTGTTCCCCTGAGTTCATTCTAAAAGCCACATATATGTGGAATCTAATAAAAATTCAAATACGTTAGCTGCATATTTTACTTCAGCAACATAAGGAAAAAGATACAAGCAGGTGCAATCTAATGTTTTGTTCAAGAGAGCTTCCTCAATGCCCCAACAGATCTGAATGCATTTTAGTACTCGACACCAACCAGAGAATTCTGTGTGTGGCGGGAACAAGGACTGCAGCTACTTTATGAAGGGTAATTCAGTGCCCTGTGAACAGCTCTGCCTCCAACCCAAGTATCTTCCATACTCTGAATTATTCTGGCCATGTCCACACTGGCTATGCAGAGTTGGTGGATACAAAGATTCAGCAGGCTGGATTTATAAGGCGTCCTCTATGCTGGGAAATAGCAGGCAGCCCTGATGATTGTTGGCCATTTTAACAAGTCCAACCTCAGGCAAAGAATTTCCTTTACATCTCATCTGTCAAACAGTGTAGCCTTAGCATCTTTAGACGTATATGTGTCTAGAAGTAATAAAAATGTTATGACATCCCACACTTTCCCATATTTTGTTTATTCCATAGATATCTCATTTCGTTAGCTTTTTGTGCCTTTTTTTTTCTCTCTGTGCTTTTTCCCTTTCAGTTACCATGGAAACAATTTCCCTGGTAGGGGAGGAGCCTAATGGCATCCAGGAGTGTGAAGTAAAGTCAATTTATATCATGGTTTGTGAAATATTGGGAGTTTGTAATGGTTGTTATCACCACATATGGTAAATCAATCTCTCTCTAGAGCAAATTTCTAAATATTGATATAAGTATGGGAGTGATGGAATTATATAGAATCATGCATCTCAGCAACTTGCATGGCAACCTTGAGGATGTACATGTCTATTTTGTTTTGCTTATATAAATAGAAAAAAATAGAAAATAGATAAATTGTATTATTTGTATTTTTAATATATTTTAAATTTTCCAAAGGCATCCATTGGCCTCTAACAAAATATATATGGTTGTTTTAATTATATAAATTAAAGAAGTCCTGTCTAATCACTTAAAAAGTTTATATGTGTGTATAAATGTGCAATTTTTAACATATAGCTTATATATAGCATAGTAGCTATGCCATCTTCACTCTCACCACTATCATTCTCACTTTAAATCAACTGGTATTTGGATAACCATGTTAATTCAGAAAATGCAGGCTTTAAAACTTTTGTCAAAACATGTGCATTTCACATAAGCAAGTAAGGTGATTACATTTTCAGGTTTTAAAATAGCCTGGTTTGTCCCCCTTGTCTAACCAAAATTTGTTTATTTAGTTTCTGCTTTCTGTTTTCTCTCAAAGAGCTGTGAATGATGAGACGACAAAATATTGGATTATTTGTGATCTTGAAACAGATGCCACCTGAGTTGTGACAGGTATTTTAAGTATAATCTTCTGCATTCACTTAACACTCTCATTTGAAAATTTTCAAACCTTGGACATATTCTTGTTCATTTACCACTGAAATGAGTCACCTCTTGGGTGTGAAGAGAATGCTAGGAATAAAATGGGAACAAGGAATGCAGGTGCAAAGGGAACAGTAACAAAGAGGAATCAGAAGTATCTTGCAAAGTTTGACTGGTTCCAAACGCAGATGTAGAAAAACCAGGGACAGTGGGATAGTCTGATTTTATTTTATTTTTTCCTGAAAGAGCACCCTCTGTTAACGTCAATGAACATAGAAATTATGGTTTTAGCTGACATTTTAGCAGCAAGCATTCTTCTTAAAATATTTCTCTTTGCTTCTCTACTCACGTTTCCCTGTTGTGGAACATGGTCAGAGGCTGGCTGCATCTTTGAAATGTTGTGTAATTTCATTCCCTTTTTGGATGTGGGAAAGTATTTAATATTTTAGTATCTTCTAAGATGAAGATTTTTTAGCTTGAAAATGGTAGCCGAGGAAAATAATTTAAAACAAACCTTCCCAAATATGGTTTAAAATTTTTACAAATATTATTGTAAAAACTAGAAAATGAAGTTCTATGCAATTAAAGGCAAGAAAGGGAAGACTGGAGGGAGGGATGGAAGAAAGTCCAGAGTGATTGTTTGACTTATCTTAAAAAGCGCCTCTGATTTCAGCAGAAATCAGAAGTCAGGACTCTGAATATCAGGGTATTTCTTCTTTCTCCTGCCCCAAGAAGTGCTGTTTAAAGAGGAACCACCATTTCTTCCTTGCTTTGTTTATACCATAAGAGTTGGTTTTCTAATTGCCTCTAAAGAGTAAATTCAGTGATATGTTTGTTGCAATGTTAGGGAATCTAACACAACCAGAGAACAGGTTCAGAACAGCACCTGCAACCTGAACGGTCTGAAGAAGTGAAACCCCACCCAGAGAAGGCCTGAGGCTGGTGCACAGAGCATGAGGCGCACTAGCCAGCCTGAGTGGGGAGACTAGTCTTTGCCTCTGAGATCAGTTACTATGCAAGAAGGGCTTGATAATCCAATCCTCCTTCCAGAGAAACATGTTTCAGCACAGCTGAGATGTGCAGAGTGATCATTTTTCCAGAACAGACAGATGATGTCCAGCCTTGTCCTTCACAGGTTTTACAACACATGGCATAAAAATAAAGAACTTATTTGCTACATCTGTCAACTTTGCTGTCTGCCCATCTTCACTGCTGGATAAATCTAGTGGTTTTTTTTTTTTAACACACATATTCTTTATTCTCATTTTTAATTATTTATAAGCTTGGAACTGTGCCAGAAACGAAGGAAAGCTGTGGCTGGGACATTTATCTACTCTGGAGGCAAATCATGGCAGGAAGAGGGGCGGCTTCCTTGGCTCTTCTCTCTGATAAAGCGAAGGCCAGCAAGAAAACTTCTTGAAACCAGTGATATTTGTTCAGATCTCTTCAGTGAGAATCACTGTTGGTATTGACATATATCAGATAACAGATGCTGTTGTTCAGTGTATTTTTATTGTTTTAAACAAGGCCAATGAAGTCAGGATATTTACCATTGACTCAGCACCATAGCATAGGCGATACACATCAGGCCGGAGATAAGGATGTTAATTTAGGGAATATCTGAATTCATGACTCAAGGTTAATGAAAGAGAGAATATTAGTTTCAGGGTTTTTTTTTTCCTTTTTAAAATGAGAAATTTGCACTTTTTAACATTACAGTATTTAATAGGTAAAATTAGAAAGGGTCCAAAATTCTCTCTCTGTGTTTGTCAATTGTTTGTTTGGCTTTGGTTTTAAATAGATATAGATCATTAATAATTTGAAAAAAAAAAAGAAATATTCAGGAGCCTGAATGTGGTGCAGAGAATAGTTCATTATCATGCTCAAAAATTCTTCTGACCACAAACATGAGTGGATTCATTTACAGCAGGCTGGAAGGAGATACCTCACTTTCTAATTTTTAGTTACTGTGCCTTGGTGATCTACACCTAATTCATGTTAGATTCATTTCTATACCCTGTTTTAAAGATTTGCAATTTCTTCTGAACCTATGGATTATATTGAAGAAATTTTACAAAAATAAAGATTTGCAATTTTCCTCAGAACATCCAACTCCACTTATGAGGTGGTGCACTGGAGACGCTTTCTTCTCTTCATGGCAAGAGAGACACAGTGAACACATTTAGGTAGCAAGAAAAAGCACATTCTGATGTCCAGGAAATCAGTGAAAAAATGAAGACAGAGAAGGGATTAAAGTAGTAAGTATAAATAAATGAGTTGGAATTACAAACAGGAAGACAGATCATAAGGACATGAAGCACAGAATGAGAGGCTTTCTGAGTAGATGTGTGAGCGTCATGCCATGAACACTTCCAGGGTGTCCAGAGCTGCTCTAGACTGGTGTTTGCTACAGGATGCAGGAGCAAGCCCAGGGCAGATTGGCAAGCTAAGAAGACCAAGCAGCACCTCCATTCTCTTGGTTTGATCTGACTTTCTTTCTAATTAAATTCTTTTACATTGAGGTAATTTTAAATTCATACGCAATTATATGAAAGAATACAGAGAGAGCTTATATATTCTTTATCCAGGTTCTTTTAGTAATAACATTGTACAAAACTGTCATACAGTCTCCCAATCAAAACATCATCATTGAAATAGTCAATGTGCAGAATATTTTCATCACCATCAAATCCTTCAAGTGGTCATTGTTTATCCACATCTGTTCCCTTCCCTCCCCATCCTTTCCTTACCCTTGGTAACCACTAATCTATTCTTTATTTCTATAATTTTGTCATTTCTATAATGTTACATAATAGTATTATATAGTATGTAACTTTTGGGTATTGAGTACTTTTTCTTGGCATGGTTCTCTGGAGATTCATTCAGGTTGTTGCGCATATCAATAGTCTGTGCTTTTTCTTTATTGCTAAATAGTATTTCATGGCGTGAATGTGCTGACTCATTAATCATTCACCCACTGAAGGACATCTGAGTTTTTTCCAGTTTGGGGCTATTACAAATGACTATCCAAAATAATTCATAGTTTATAAATAAGCTTCTATAAACTTTACATACAGGTATCTGTGTGAATGTAAGTCGTTTCTCTAGGATAAGTGCCCAGGAGTAAAACTGCTAGGTTGTGTAGTAGCTGCATGTTGAAATTTTAAAGAAATAACCAGCTGCGCAGGCGCCGAGCAGTGGCGGCGCCTCGGATCTGCTCCGGGGCGAGTCTGGCATCCCTCAGAGGCAGAAGAGGCCTGGACCTCAGCGCAGGGAGACCCAGGAACAGATGAGCAGGGATGTCTGCGTCCACACCTGGCCGTGTACCTACTACCTGGAGCCACAGAGGCGATGGGTTACTGGCCAGCTGTCCTTGACGTCGCAGTCGCTCAGGTTCGTGACTGACAGCACTGGCGAGACTCTGGTCAGCTTCCCCCTCTCCAGCATAGTCGAGATCAAGAAGGAGGCTTCGCATTTTATCTTCAGCTCCATCACCGTCCTGGAGAAGGGCCACACCAAGCACTGGTTCAGCTCCCTGCAGCCAAGTCGAAATGTGGTCTTCAGCATCATCAAGCATTTCTGGAGGGAGCTGCTGCTGTCTCAGCCTGCGGCAGGCGTTTGCGCCCAGGACCCGGGGCAAGGAGCTGACAGGACTCATGGCCGGGTCCCAGAAACGCCTGGAGGACACAGCAAGGGTCCTGGACCACCAGGGCCAGCAGCTGGATGGCGTCATGAGAGGCCTGGACAAGATGGAGTCAGACCCGGAGGTGGCAGACAGATTGTTGACAGACCTGGAATCTCCTGCTTGGTGGCCCTTTAGCTCCAAGCTTTGGAAGACACCATCAGAAGCAAAGCCCAGGGAAGGCGTCTCCGTGAAACCAAGTTGTGAACCCTTTGGGAAAGAAGGGATGCTGATCCAAATTCCTGCCATTATTTCCCACAGAACAGAGTCTCACGTCAAGCCAGGGAGGCTCACTATCCTCGTGTCTGGGTTGGAAATCCATGATTCCAGTTCTTTGCTCATGCACAGATTTGAAAGAGAAGATGTGGACGACATCGAGGTCCACTCACCTTACGAAATCAGCATCCGCCAGCGGTTTGTTGGAAAGCCAGACATGGCCTATCGTTTGATATCCGCCAAGATGCCAGAGGCTATCCCCATTTTAGAAGTGCAGTTCGGCGAGAAGATGGAGCTCTTAGAAGACGCCTTGGTGCTCAGAAGCGCGAGGACCTCCTCCCCAGCAGAGAAGAGCCGCTCCGTCCGGCATGCAGCATCGGGGCTGATGGGCCGCGCCCTGCACCGTGAGCCACCCGCAGGAGACCGGGAGGGCACGGCCCTGCACCTGCAGCTGAGCCCGCCGTCCCTGTCCGAGGCACATACCCAGGAACTAACCCAGATCCTGAGGAGGATGAAGGGGCTGGCCCTGGAGGCCGAGAGCGAGCTGGAGAGACAGGACGAAGTCCTGGATGGCGTCACGGCGGCTGTGGACAGGGCAACCTTGACCATCGACAAGCACAACAGGCGGATGAAGAGGCTGACCTAGGGGCAGACGTCCCCCTGAGATGACGGGCTGGGAGGCGGTGCCAGGGCTGCAGAGGCCTTCGGCCTCCCCCTGGATGGGGCTGCTGCCGTGGGGCCGCCTGACCACCAGGAGCCTCCCCAGGGGTGCGCCATGCCTGCCCGCGACGCGCTTCTCCCTGTTGGCGGGCAGGACCCGGCTGCATGTTCTGCAGATGGCGCAGGAGGGTGGACATGGCAGGGCCCCGGGGACTCTGGACACAGGCCCGTAAGACGCTAGCGCGCGGTCCTGATCTTAGCTCCCTTCCATGAACGGACCGGCCTTCCTAGCGGTGCTATGACTTTGTGAGTGAAGTTAGAGCCAACTCCCCTGAGGGCATCCTGTAACACCCAACTGTTCTTTTATCTTCTCGGTTTCAGCCAGAAGTGAAAAAAGCATGACTGCACCTTTCGGCCCTATTTCCATCCAGAAATAAAGCGAAATGCTGGCTGGTGGGGGGAGGGGGGCGGCGGGGGGTGGAGAAAGAAGAAATAACCAAACTGTTTCCAGAGTGGCTGTATTATTTTTACATTCCCGCTAAGAGTGCATGAGTAACTTAGTTTCTATGCATCCTTATCAGGTTTTGGCGTTGTAACATTTTTTATACTAGTGATTATTTTAAGTACAGAGTAATATCTTGATACAGTTTTAATTTGCATTTCCCCATTGGCTGATGCTGTTGATCATTTTTTTCTTTTTGTTTATTTCTTTTATTTTTAAGTTCAGTGGTACATACACAAAATATGCAGGTGTGGTACCTAGGTAAACATATCCCATGGCAATTTACTGTACAGATCATCCCCATCACCCAAGCATTAAGCCCAACTCTCATTAGCTATTCTCACTGATGCTGTCTTACCCCTCACCCTCTGACAGGCCCCAGTGTGTATTGCTCCCCCTGCAATGCACCAATGTGTTCTCATCATTCAGATCCCACTTACAAGTGAGAACACGTGGAATCTGGTTTTCTGTTCTTGCATTAGTTTGCTAGGAATAAGGCCTCCCAGCTCCATCCATGTCCCTGCAAAGGACATGATTGAATTCCTTTTTATGGCTGCACAGTATTCCATTGTGTATATGTACTAAGTTTTCTTCATCTGATCTATCATTGATGGGCATTTAGATTGGTTCTGTGTCTTTACTATTGTGAATAGTGCTGCAATAAACATATGCATAAATGTATCTTTATAATATAATGATTTATATTTTTTGGCGATATATACAGTAATGGGATTGCTGCATCAAATGGTATTTTTGCCTCTAGATCTTTGAGGAATCATCACACTGTCTTCCACAATGGTTTAACTAATTTACACTCCCACCAACAGTGTAAAAGTACTCATTTTTCTTCACAACCTTACCAGCATCTGTTGTTTCCTGACTTTAATGATCACCATTCTAACTTGTGCGAGATGATATCTCATTTGGTTTTGATTTGCATTTCTCTAATGACCAGTGATGATGAGCTGAGCTTTTTTTTTAATATGTTTGTTGGCAGCATAAATGCCTTTTTTTTTTTTTTTTTTTTTTGAGACATGGTCTTTTTCTGTCACTCAGGCTGTAGTGCAGTGGCACAATCTCAGCTCATGGCTACAAACTCCACCTCTTAGGTTCAAGCTATTCTCCTGCCTCGGCTTCCTGAGTAGCTGGGATTTCAGGCACCCTGCCTGGTTAATTTTTCTTTCTTTCTTTCTTTCTTTTTTTTTTTTTTTTTTTTTTTTAGTAGAAACAAGGTTTCACAGTTTTGGTTAGGTTGGTCTCAAACTCCTGACCTCAGGTTATCCACCCACTTCAGCCTCCCAAAGTGCTGTGATTACAGGTGTAAGCCACCGTGCCTGACTAAATGTCCTATTTTGTGAAGTGTCTGTTCATATACTTTGCCCACTTTTTGGTGGGGTTGTTTGTTGTTTTTCTTATAAATTTGTATAAGTTCCTTGTAGATTCTGGATATTAGCCCTTTGTCAGACGGATAGATTGCAAAAATTTTCTCCCATTCTGTAGGTTGTTTACTCTGATGACAGCTTCTTCTGCTGTGCAGAAGCTCTTTAGTTTAATTAGATCCCATGTGTCAATTTTTTGCTGCTGTTGTTGCAATTGCTTTTGGTGACTTCGTCATGAAATGTTTGCTTGTGCCTATGTCCTAATAGTATTGCCCAGGTTTTCTTTAAACAGGAATCCTTTACTATTGCTTGTTTTAGTCAGGTTTGTCAAAGACCAGATGGCTGTAGGTGTGCTGTCTTATTTCTGGGTTCTCTATTTGGTTCCATTGGTCTATGTTCTTGCACAAGTGCCATGTTGTTTTGTTACTATAGCCCTGTAGAATAGTTTGAAGTTTGGTAGTATGATGCCTCCAGCTTTGTTCCTTTTGCTTAGGATTGCCTTGGCTATTCGAGCTCATTTTGGTTCTATATGTGTTTTAAAATAGTTTTTTCTAATTCTGTGAAGAATATCAATGGTAGTTTAATGGGAATAGTGTTAAATCTATAAATTGCTTTGGCCATTTTCACAATATTGATTCTTTCTATCCATGAGCATGAAATGTTTTTCCATTTGTTTGTGTCATCTCTGATTTCTTTGAGCAGTGGTTTGTAGTTCTTCTTGAAGAGAAGATCCTTCACTTCCCTTGTTAGCTGTATGCTAGGTATTTTATTCTTTTTGTGGGAATTGTGAATGGGAGTTCATTTGGGATTTTGCTCTTGGCTTGCTTGTTGGTGGTGTATAGGAATGCTAGCAATATTTGCGCCTTGAATGTGAGACTCTCCTGAAGTTGCTTATCGGTTTAAGAAGCTTTTGGGCTGAGACGATGGGGTTTTCTAGATATAGGATCATGTCATCTGCAAACAAAGATAGTTTGACTACCTCTCTTCCTATATGAATACCCTTTATTTCATTCTCTTCCTTTCTTTCAGAATGTTAAATATTGACCCCCAGTCTCTTCTGGCTTGCAGTGTTTCCACTGAAAGGTCTAATATTAATCATGGGCTTCCCTTCATAGGTGATCTGGCCTTTCTTTCTGGCTGCCCTTAACAATTTTTCTTTTATGTAAAACTTGGAAAATCTGATGATTATGTGTCGTGAAGATGATATTCTCATGGAGTATCTTACTGTGTGGGATTCTCTGCATTACCTGAATTTGAATGTTGGCCTGTCTAGCTAGGTTCAGGAAATTCTGCTGGGTGACATCCTGAAATATGTTTTTCAAATTGGTTTCATTCCGCCCATCTTTTTCAAGTACCCCAATCAGTTGTAGATTCAGCTTCTTTACATAATCTCTATTCTTACAGTTTTTTTTTTTTAAATTTGATTTCATTCTTTTTTTTCTCTTTTCTGGTTTGCCTGTCTCATTTCAGAAAGATTATCTTCAAGTGCTGAGATGCTTTTCTCCACTTGGTCTATTCTTTCATTAATACTTGTGATTACACTGTGAAGTTCTTGTAGTGTGTTTTTCAGCTCTATCAAGTTGGTCATATTCCTCTCTAAACTGGCAATTTTGGCTGTCGGCGCCTGCATTGTTTTGATTTTTTCATGATTCTTAGCTTTCTTTTTTTTTTGCATTGGGTTAGAACATGCTTTTTTAGCTCACAAAATTTGTTTTTATCCTCATTCTGAAGCCTACTTCTGTCATTTCAGCCATCTCATCTTCAGCCCAATTTTGAGCCCTTGCTGGAGAGCTGCTGCCATCATTTGGAAAAAAAGGGACACTCTGGCTTTTTGAGTCCGCGGCATTTTTCCATTGATTCTTTCTCATCATAATGGGCTTATCTCTCTTAAATTTTTAATGTTGGTGACCTCCTGATTTGGGAGTTGCAAACGTCAATGGGAGAAGCGTGGTTTTCCAGGGTTGGACAATCACTCACCACTTCCCTTGCCTGGCGGGGGGTGGTTCCCTTGGCACCATGTCACTCCCAACTAGGCCATCACCCCACACTGCTTTTCTTCATTCTCCATGGGTTGAGTTGTTTCTCTGATCAGTCTCAATATGAGTAACTGGATATTTCAGTTGAAGGTGCTACATGCATTTGCTCCTTTCATTCCTCTCCATGAGCACCACAGACTGCAGCCGCATCTAGTTGACTATCTTGGCCCTACTCCTTTTCATCTTTTCATGTGATTGTTTTGGTTAAATATCTCTTCAAGTCTTTTGTACTTTGTCTAGTTGGATTGTTTTTACTGTTGAGTTTTGGACATTCCTTATATATTCTAGACACCAGTCCTTTATTAGATTCACTGTTTGCAAATATTTTCTCCCACTGCATAGCTTGTCTTCATCACCTTTTCAGTCTTTCACTGAAAAAGTTTTCAACTTGTCAGTATTTCATTTTATGGATCATGCACTCATTGTCAAATTCACGCTTAGCCCTGTATCCTAGAGTGTTCTCACATGTTTCTTTTTCAAAAAGTTTTATTGTTTTACATTTTGCATGCTTTAATGAGACGTGAAGCAGAAATTGAGGTGTTTTTTTTGTTTTGCTTTTTTGGTTTTTTTTTTTTTTTTTTTGGCCTATGGATGTCCAATTGCTCCTGTACCATTTGTTGGAAAGGCTGTCTTTCCTGCAATGAATTGCTTTTGCACCTTTATCAAACTCAGTTGAGCATATTTGTGTGGGTGAGTCTATTTCTGAATTCCCTGTTCTATTCCATTGATTTATGCCTGTATCCCACAGCCAGAACCATACAGTTTGGATTACCACAGCTATATAGTAACTCTTGAAACCAAGTAGGCTGATATTTTTCATCTTTTATAAAATTGTTTTTGTATTCTAGTTTCTTTATCTTTTCATATACAGTTCAGAAAAACTTTGTACCTATATATTGCCGGGTTTTGATAGAAATTGTATTAAACGTATCTATCAATTTAGGGAGTATTGACATACTATGTTTAGTCTTCAACCCATAAATTCACGTGCCTTTCAATTTACTCAGATCTTTAAAAAATTTCTTTCATCAATGTTGCATAGTTTTCAGCATGCAAATCTTATACATATTTCATGA